TAGCGCCTAAACAGTGAGAGATAGAGCCAAACGGACGAAATTTTCGCCCAAAGGGCTCTACTTTCACGAGTTACCCCTTAGGAGACCATAAAAAAAAAAAATTTCCACTTCTTGGACCAACTCCTATTTCTTTGTTACCCCCTCAGACCCACTCAGGGGTGGTTGCCAGGATTTGCACCAACCGTTTCGTTGACCAGAAGTGACAACAATAATACCCTGAAAATTTCAAACCCCTAGCCCACGTCCTTCTTGAGAAACGGACAGACAGACAGACACAGAGGCGATGGCATAAGCCCGCTTATATAGCTTTTAAGCAAAAGAGCGGGCTAAAAACAACAGGTCCTAAAAATGACGTTTTTTAAAAATATTTTTTTACAGTTTCCTAAGGGGTAACTCGTCAAAGTTGAGCCCTTTGGGCGTAAATTTCGTCCGTTTGGTTCTATCTTTAACCATTTAGGCGCCACAGGGAGTTTTTGACGAAAATAAGCGAAAAAATGTAGCACCCTGCATTCTTAGTCGAAGTGGCGGGAAGTTGACGGGCCGAAAGCCCGTATCTTTTAGTACATTTTAGCGCTTCGCGACTCGGGTGTCAGCGCCGCAGGCCTAGGTAGATGTATGCCAGGCGCGTCGCAGCGTAACAGTGTTTCGTGAGATATCGCGAAGCCTGTTACGCGAGACGTGGTCTGGCGTACATCTACCTAGTTTCTATAGACGCGATAAGCGAAGCGTATGGCTGATCATGTTGTCCGAGGTGTACGGCCCTGAGGACAGGGAGCCCCGACTGGCCCGTTGCACAGAGGGGAAGGCCCAGCTCGGCCCGGCGCGGTGGCCTTTGTGTAGTGCGGCATAGCAGCGCGGGTTATTCCAGGACGAATCTGGGCCACCCTGCTCGCGCCTCTGCAACACCAGCTCCGGCTTCTCGAGGAGGCTCCTGGAAGCGCCGAGCTACGTCAACGGCCCCTACTCAAACGGCTGCTTCTGCTGCGGAGGCGTGTTTACCACCGGGCCAATACCAAATTCTACATTTCGATTACAGCAGCCGATATGCTATTGGCGGGGATTCCGACATTCTTGTTTGCTTACTATACAGTAAATGACAGAAAGCTTCCCATCGCATCGAAATCAGGTTGCTGTAGCAGTCAAACGGTAATTATTTAGGTGGTGATGCGTTTTACACACCACCCACACACACACACTCTCTCTCACACACATATACGCACCAAAACTCAACTCCCGTTTTCTTTGCCTCAGGTGTGCCGTTCGTACCGTTAGTACCTTCAACTATCGGAGATCGCTTTCGACTTACATTATTGTATTTGAACTTAGTCGTGCACACAGACGTCCAGAGGTAGTTTCAACTACGGCAGACCACGTCTCCCGTAGAGGGTTCCGCGATATAGCCCACAAAGCACACCGTTCTGCTGGGACGAAATGTTTGCCAGTAAAGGAATGCTTTGTGGACTTTCCGACTAAGAAACAGGAACTTTTCAGACATTTCTGACATGTTATTGGTAGAGCCATGCCATAGGTGTAGAAAATTGAAGTCGTGGCGGCTGGCAGCCGTGGGAAAAGAGGACGCGGAGACATATCTGAACCGGAAGGCACGCTAGAAGGACGAGTAGAGGACGGACCCCGGCCCGGAGGCGCCAAAGGATGCAAAGGACTGTGAAAGGAACGCGACCGCGGCACCGCGCGTAGGATTTGGGCCTAAGTCCCTGGGTTGTCATGACATATGGAGGCACCACCAACAATAACATGGCTTGGAGTCACGAAGTGGGGGAGGAGAGAGAGAACGGTGGGTAGGGAATGGGAAAAGCAGCGTAAGATAGCGGCTGCAAACTGGAAAGGAAAGCCAAAGAGTGAGTAGGCAAATATTGGCTTTCAGGAAGACAAACAAAAACTGCGGAAGGACACCTATTACACAAGTGAATGAAAAGTTTTCCAACTCTTTGTCTATCCGTTAGGTACACACGGTATCTCAAGAACAAATTGTGTTAGCAATTTAACAGTTTCAGGGCTGTTTTGTACATTTGATTGGTATTGAATTTTAGCGTTACTATTGACAAATCTTCAAAAACGATGCCCACAAAATAGCATGTCACTTATTTGGAAGTGCAGGAAGTCTAAAATTGAGTAATGCAATACATCAAGACCCCCCGGCCCCTTACCAGTTCGAAACAGTATAAGTTCGGTGTCAGAATATTATCAACTCCATGTGTTTCGATGGGGAGAAGACTAGAACTTACCTTTTCTTAAACTGTCTTCTTTAGGTCAGCAGAATCCACGCTAAGAATAATATCGCAATATTGTGTTGTTGTTGCCTTGTGCTCCAGGGGCTTTCAATGTGCCACGGCCACGAGCGCCGAACTAACCCCATCCCCCGGCCTCCTCTTACGTTCAGTATATCAAGCGGAAGGTAATAATCTCGTGGCTCCACATTCTGTGGCCGGGATGCTGTGCGGTCGCCGGCAATTTCGCTGTCAAATATTTAGTTGGCCCCCTCCTCTCTGCTGACGCGCGTGTCGAATCCCTTCCCTCTCCGTCTCTCTCATCCAGTCGCAACCCTATCTCCTACTGACAACAGCACGTGCTCTTCATAGAAATAGTTTTGTTTCACACGACATTTCAGTCCATATACTTGCGACCCACACGCAAAACCTGAAGTATTAGAGCTGTGCGAAATCGCCTTCCGAGACCAAACTCACCAGGTGGGCTTTGTCTACTGCTGAGGGTCAGGACGAGAGCCCCCTCGTTGTCTTACATCAGGCAGACCGGCAGGCCAAGGCGTCGATCTCGAAAGTGGACTTTGCAGAGTTCTCGTGATTATTCTCTACGCAAACTCGAGACGACGTCAACGTCGACAATTCATCGATCTAGGCGACAAAAACCCATCGAATCGATGTCGATTTCGCACTGATCGATGAAATCGACCAAATTTCGACGATGCATTTCTGGCTCGGAGGGCCTTAGCCTGTGCCCTCCACTGGACAGCCACAGCAGACGACAAAAATGAGTCTACAGTCAGTCTAGACAGGTGGCATTGGATTGGAGCAATTCTGATTTCCATAACATGTTTTATTCTGAAAACATTGATTGTATCTTGTTTTTTATCACGGGACAATTTGTAGTACGATCTCTACTCTGCATTACATGTTATAGCCTAGTTAGTGCCCTGGCTTCCTCCCTCACTCCCCCCACAACAAATGTGAGTCATCATTCGCCGGGCCGGACCCTGTGCGCGTCCAGTCCCCCTTTACCCCACCACGCCCGCCCACTCCGGTTATGTCAGACGGCACCGGTGCGCTAGAGGGGAGGGGGAGGGAGCGCTTCCACCCCGCTTTTAAATACGGCGCGGTCCACGTGGCTAGGCCTCAGTGTCAGTCTGTGCAGTGTCACGAGTGTTTGTGTGAGTGTGTCGGTGTGCTCGTCAGCGTCGCTAACAGTTATCAGGTGCGTGTGCCAACAAGTGTTTGCAGTGTTTCGGCCCGTCGTGCTGGCTGCCTACCTGGATAAGGGCCCAGCCCCAGTGCTCGGGTTTCACTTTCATCATGATCAGTCAACAGAGTGGCCTGAACAGTGGAGTGAAATAGGATCGCCTCTAGTCCGTCTCCTGCTCATCCCTTCCTACCTCCGCCCAGCCCTAGCACCCACCCTCTCTCTTGTGGGGTAGCTTTGGCGCCGCTTTGCCGCAGCGATGGTGTCATTGAGAGGTACGATCGTTTATTAAAGGCACAAGTTATAATGGGTGATTAAAACTGTCCGACGTGGTGGCATGGGGCGCGGAGTCCGTAGCTACATCAATCATGCCTTCGAGTAGATGAGGGCCGGCTCGCTGCAATCGCGAGAAACCCGTGCAAAACGCGACGCCTGCACTCGTAGCGAAAGGCAACAAAAGCAGAAGAAACCACAGTTTCCCGAGAGACAATTTTCCAGCTTGCTACTGTCATTGTCGCGTTTTGATTGGAAAGTTAGTGAGCATACAAAAATGACTTGTAGCAAGCAACGTGAAGCTAATTAGGCCTGCAACCAATCTTATTCGAATCCCAGCCTATTGAACAATTGTAGTTGCTGAGCCGAGTGGCCAACAGTGGTGATCAGGTGTACACAGAGTTGGTAATCCCTGGTAATCCACACTCTCGTCTCGTGAGGGTCTTTTCGAAGGAAACATTAATTTGTTGAATGAGACACGCATTTTTGAGCACATCTTGCCTTAATGCAAAAGAGCATGTTAAATATGGAGAATTTGCATCCCGCCCACGGACCAAGTATAATTTGTCCTATTATAGAACGCAAATTTGCAACTATCTGAGATGTGGACCAAAAATAGCCGTTTATATTTATAATGCAAGTGAATCATAATTAGGATTCATTGGTATTCATCCGGTAATCTTTGGTTATCTTTGGTAATATTCGGTAATCATCGGTAATCTTCCCAATTTGGTAATCCAGTGTACATATTTTTATGCAGCTAGCTTCCCCTGAGGTTGAGACTGATCTTTGCAATATGTTACTTTGGATGGTACCGAACGTTTTTTTCTTCTTTGTTGAAGATCGAAATCAACCTGCTCAGAGTAGTTTTGGTATCACGGCATACGATATACTACCTCCGCCCACCTGGACGGAGACGGTGCGGTCGGGAGTCCAATCATGTCCGTGCTGTTATGTGAAGCATGTGTGCTCCAGCACAACAAGAATGATTTGAACATTCCAACCAGAAAATGCACCGTAAGATATTCCCTTCATTGACCAGAGTTGAGGCCACCGTTTGTATACAAGGGTCACTTTTCTAAATTCAACTGCCATAATCGTAATATTTAAATAGCAGCCGCTTGTTGATTGTTTGATCAGTTTTCAGGTGTCTGATATATTGCACTCACATATAGGGACACAATGACGGACAGGAGCAGCAACGCACATGAAGGGTCGGTAATGTGTAAAATTTAGTGTTGTCGAACTATATTAAACGTCAATTGGTGTGGAAACTATCGACATTTCAGGAAAGTGTAGTGGCTGCACACCGCATGGTATCTACAAATAGCACATATCTGTGTGCGTCCAATTGTGCAAAATTTAGGCGTTTACAGAACGTGTAAAATCTGCACATCACGCAAACGTACAGCTTTAGCAGGGAACCACAGGCCTTAGGTAAAGGATAGATAAGAGTGTCGGACAGGACAAAGAAGAATCAGTCCTCGAACCAAACTCCCTGGGCACATCTAGACGAACCCTAACCCGCGACTCGCCTCCCAATTCCTTCTGTTGTAACAGGTAGGGCTGTCCTTCCAGAACACATTGTGACGCACCGTTCCCTCCCACCCACCTGTCCCCGGGCCGCAACTACCATCAGACTACTCCTTCCTGTCGTGTTTCCCAGTTCCTTCAGAAACCTCTATTTTGCTAGATCTATAATCCTCCTTTTCCTCGGCATCATTATTTTCTTTCAATCAGCTTCCCGTTCCAGTTCGTGCACGGACTCTATCTTTTTCCGAGTTTTCAACTGCATTTTCTTATATCCGGAGTAAGAGAGGGGGGGG